CTCCGCTGGTGGGAGCCGCCCATCGGCCTGCATCCGGACCATGGCCACGTCGGCGGGGTTGCCGACCGCGGCGCCGATGCCCCCGGCGATGAGGCCAGCGGCAACCTTGCGGTGAAGCGGGATGGACCCGCCGTCACCGGGCGCGGACCAGCGCTTCTTCAGCATGTCGTAGAGGCCCATGCGCGTGGTGGAGTAGAGGGTCTGTCGGAGGAGGGTGGCCGAGACCCCGGAGAAGAGCCCCGCGGGACCCTCAGCACGGAGGATCTGCGCGCCCACCGCGATCGGGCCGGGGCGCCGTGGCGGGGTCAGGGCAGGATGATGGTGGCGGAGGGTGGTCATGCCAGTGGCCCCGTGAAGAGCGTCAGCGGGACGAAGGGCGGAGACCGAGGGGCTGATGGCCTCGCCTTGGAGCTGCAAGCGGACCTTGATGAGGTCGAGAGGATGGGTGGAGCATCCGGCGACGATCGAGGCGATGCCTCCTTCAAGGAATCCTTTGAGGCCCATCTCTTGTTATGTGGGGAAAAATTACACCAACCAAAGAATAATTCTCAGGGTGGCTCCTTTAGGCGAAAAGGGTCGACAAAATCCCAACTTTAGGCAGAATCGAAGGGAAAGCAAGCTCCTTCCGCTCGATGTGGCAGGGAAAGGGAATTCTACGACTACAACAACAACTATTACCAGTTGGAGTTGGGGTTCATCTCACTGGAGACAAGGAGATGGGAGTGGAGGGCGAAACCTACGGAACAGGAGTGCGGGACGCTGGGCCGCTGACATATGCTGCGGTCAAGTACGAGTTGGAGGCGAGGCGGTAGGAGGGTTATTTATAGCATTGGCAGAGCTCCCAATACCACACGAGAATAGGAGAGGACGCCGAAGGAAACAACGGTGGGGAAACGACCGGTGACCGAGAGTGGGAAGGGTTCTTCTTAATTAAATTTGCTTTTGTGGCGAATTTTACTTTTGTTTCTAGAGAAGCCCGGCCTACGATTTTGGAATAATTGTCCCTGTTGGCATTCATGGAGGTCCGATCAAGGCCGTGTAGCGAGGATCGAACGGTCGTTCATGCGACGCCGTGGCCCTCCACCCACCATAGGTGGTGGCGCGACGGGTTCGTCGCCGCCCCCATCCACACGTATTTTCCATGGCGTAATTTGCTGTTCCTTTCCGACAACGTTGGGGATGCCGCTTTCGCAATGACCGTCCGCCCTCCACGCGAACGGCCGTTGCTTCGGCTATTTGGTGGGGCCCGGAAGTCCGATCGTCACCACCTCCGATGGCGGGCGGAACTTTTCTTTTAGCACAAGGCGTATGTCGACCATCTCACCTACGCGATTTTTCATTGGAAATTCCCGTGGGCTCCACGAAAAGAGCATCATTACATCCGACAAGAATGCTCAGTACGTGGTTTATCCGTCTAGTACGAGGAACTAGTAATAGTGGTGCTACTTGGAGACACGAGCGAGACTGCTTCCGAGTCTTCAGTACGTGGTTTACGTGTGAGGAACGGATTACGAGGCATGTCAGTGACGGCGCGACCGTAGGAACACGGTAAGGCCGGGGAGCTCTCGGAGCACCGGAAGAGGTGGGAAGCCCGTATGGACTTCGAAACGTGGAACTCGGCTGGTTGACTTTGACCGTGGTAAACGATGTGATACATGATTATTTAACCATTTAATCTTTATGTATTTATTATTATTGTACATCCAAAATCTGCTGCTGGTAATATATTAATGGATGTCTCAATAACACCGACAAACCGTAAGCTAATAAATAGGTCTCTTGCAGCGTGTTTAGTTCTATATAAAATAATATTTGTAAATTTAATTATTTTTTCAACTTATTAATAATTCTATAAGGGAGTTATACATTATTTTTTTATGAATTAAATTATTTATTACATATATTTTATAATAATTATACACGTGAACTTCTTTTATCATAACTGTGTACCTCCAAATTATCAAAAATTTTAATTATAAAATCACATTTCTAATCCACTTCCTAAATAAAGTTATGATATATCCAGAAGCTAATTGGTTTCTTTTTATAAAATTAAAATCCAA